ATATCTATCGCTCATTTCTTTTCTTCATTTGTGTGGAGATTGTCCTGTATTCACTGCCATAAAGGGGCACTGATAGTACATAACAGTTCGGTACTATTTTCTTTATATATAAATTTAAACGCATCGAACGCACTTCAGAACATCGACATTTTTGACTTTCACTGAGTTCACGTGGAATGCGTTTATTGGGTTTATTGATCTTGTCAATCTTTTTGAGATAGTCTAATATTGTTGAATTGCTGACACGCAATGATCCGAGATATTCCTCTGACACATGTGGCTTTTGTTCGACCCCTGTTTTCAATTGTTGATTGTAGACAAACGTTATCTATCACCTTGACCTTAAAGATTCGTATCCCTACTGAGGAACTTCGATAACCAGTGCCGTGCGGATCCATCACAAGTGGATTCATCCCGCTAAACTCTGCTAATCATGGGAACAGTTTGATACTCATTATAACCACGTTTGAACTGATGTTAAAAAAGCAACCGCACCTTTTTTTTTTGTTATGTTCAAAATAAGAGTATAAAATATTTTACTGCTACAAACTGAAATAGATTGATATATAATTGACAAATGGGATAATTTAATCCCTAGGAAAGAGTAATATATTTTTGCACATATATATATTAGAATACATTTAAATGGTTTATTCTAAAATCGGACATTATTTTTCCAAGAACTCGGGAAAATCTCCATATTGAATCCTTATATTTTTGAGCCTGACAACTTGAATAAATCATTTCTATAACAATCATTATTGAATGCATGTAATTGTTTAAAGAATTAAGAGTGTACAATTGAAAAGATTAAAAATTGAAATTTACCAACTCACTGAAGCAGACGATATACACCTGAGATCAATTATCGCCTTATCTATCTTATTTTTTCGTTTTTTTGTTTTTATCTTCGCTTTCGTTTTTTCACTAAAACCAAACAATTATATATCTTTTTATTCTGTCTTTCCTTGCAGTCGACATTGTTTTCCGAACAACCTAATATCATTTTCTTTATTCTGAAATATACGCAGTCTTATAGAAAAGATTATAATTATCTGATCAAACGATTAACTGTGTTTCCATCTCCTTGGTCATCATTTTTGGCTGGTCCCAAATAACCTATTCGTTCCGGAAAATCGTTTTTCTTGATTCAGATATTCTAGGCTGATTCTGTTTGATTTGAAACGATTTTTGTCGCACACTATGTTGTCTGAAGACATCTGAGATTGGAGATCTATCGAGGAAGAATCTATCTGTTAGTTCAAAGATGATATTTAGGAAATGTTTACGTAAGGCGTTCAGGTTTTAAAAAAAAAACCGCTACAAGATAGGTCTGTGTCAAATGTTGGAGGAACTACAAAAATATCCTAATCGTTAAAAAGAGACGCGTCTGCCATTTACTGAATATTCTGCATAAACCACGATCAATCTAAAGTATGGGAGCAATTGACGAACCCTTCAAGACTTTTGTTATAAATATTGACCAGAATAACCGATTCTAAATCGAACCAGAACGAATTATAATGGAACTAAAAATAAAACCATACCAGTCACAAAGTAAGCAACATTTTGCGAATCAAAGGTCTAAATCGTTCTTTCAGCAATTAAAGAAGAGTTACGTAGATATTTTCTCAGTATTTAGTGAGCATCAGTTCAAAAAGAAAAGGAAACAAAAACAAAGAAGAAAAAATAACTTCATAAAAAATAAAATGGTCATCAATCATATATATATATATATATATATATACATAGATATATATATATATATATATTATATATATATATATAAAATATATATATATATACATAGATATATCCGGTAGAAAATGGTATATAATACAAGTGTTTCCTAGTAATATGAAATATTAAAACGGATGCACAAAATGAGCTAAATGTATTTATTATTACAGAGCAAATAATTAATAAACAATAAAATCTAAAATCATCTCGTATGGGGAATAGTCAAATGAGGTAACAAATCCGTTGATAATAAATCCTATCTCTGACACGAACTCACGCCGGAGTTGATGAGACAAACGGCCGGTGTTTTCGTCTGACGAAATAGGCTATTACCCATATGAGGTGATTTGGGAATTTATTCTTTATTAATATATATATATATATATATATGTGTGTGTGTGTGTGTGTGTGTGTGTGTGTACGTGCGTGCATGGGTGAGAGAGAGACACTGTGTGTGTGTGTGTGTGTGCGTGTGTGTGTGTGTGTGCGTGTGTGTATGTGTGTTTAAAAAAAGTGTACAATATCCCGAGCAAATTTTAAAGAAATTTGATCAATGGGAAACCTTTCGTTGAAACTAGATTTTATTACGCGTTTCTCCTTTTTAGGATTCATCAGATAAAAAAAAAAACAAAAAAAAAAAAAAAACATCTGTATCTGGATTTCGGTGAATGATTGAATAATGAATCGTAATAATTCTCTCCTAATCTGGCGTTTCTCGTGTTTAAAGAAGAATGAAAATGAGTGCCTTTAAAAATATTTATCCTGTATCAGTTTTATATATATATATATATATATATATATATATATATATATATATATATATATAATATAAATATGTGGATACAGATCCGACAGTATGAAGAAAAATATCCTAATATGCGATTAAAACAGCATAATCGCATATTAGGATTTTTTTTGTTAGTTTTTTCAGTATATTTTTTTCTTATATATATATATATATATATATATATATATGTATATATATATACAGTGTAACCCGTGTATAAGAGAAACCCGGATATAAGAGAGATTTTCTCTGGTCCCAAATTAGAGCCCATACTTACCTGAACAAAATAGGCCAAACCCGGATATAAGAGAAACCCGGATATAAGAGACTTCTTCTCCGGTCCCGACAACTCTCTTATATCCGGGTTACACTGTATAAAGGAGGCCTCCAAGAAGTGGCTAGAGCACTACAAGAAGAACTCTGGAGTCCAAACTTTAAAGAAATTAAAGTTTTATATCTTTTGAAATAATTTCATATTCCCAAGAACACATAGACCAATGGATGATAGCGTTGGTTGAAGTAATACAGTAACCTGACAAAAAGAATGATGAGTTCAATATCTAGCGAAAGCAGAGTGAAAAACAAAAGTAAAAATAATATGGCCGATGTTTCAGACTTTCATAAGTCACTAGCAGGAGAGCCCGGCGTTGCCCGGGGATATAACAGTAAGAGATAGATCAAGTATCCACCATCATAAAGACTGAAAAATAAAATTGACAAAGATTATTGTTTAAGGTTGACGGACACGCATGTCTTAATTAGTTTTTTTGTTTTTGTTTTTGTTTTTTTTACGAATTGGTCAAACCCAAACTCAAACAAAAACATTGTTTTGAATCGTTATGAGTCTACCGATTGAATAGAATTTTATTATAAACAATTGTCTTGTAAATGGAATTTTTAAAGCATGCTGAATGTAAAAATAAAGAAAAAAGTGTGCAAGGCAATAAGAAACACTATATGCCAAAAAAAATGATGTTTTGTTGAAATTGGTTGAAAAATGTAGGTAGCCTTTCTGTAATCTTTTAGTTTTACAATTTATGATTTTTACTTATTGAATACAGTAAAAAAAAAATTTGCTTGTGGTGATTCATAATTAGAATTTTGATTTGAATATATTTTCCACTCGTTGTTTCTAATACAAAAAATATTAACTTTATTTGGGTTTATTAATTATGATCTAACAAATCTTATTCATTTAGTAGCCTTTCTGTAATAATAATCTTTTACAATTTATATGTGTATATCGTCTGCTTCAGTGAGTTGGTAAATTTCAATTTTTACTTATTGAATACAGTAAAAAAAATTGGACACCATGTGTATTTAAAGTAGTTTCCCTAAAGATAAAGAATTATCCGATGTTTGGATTCGTACAATCAGTAGAGATCGTTAGATTATTGTTTAAGGTTGACGGACACGCATGTCTTAATTATTTTTTTTTTTTTTACGAATGGGTCAAACCCAAACTCAAAAAAAAACATTGTTTTCAATCGTTATGAGTCTTCCGATTGAATAGAATTTTATTATAAATAATTGTCTTGTAAATGGAATTTTTAAAGTATTCTGAATATTAAAAATAAAGAAAAAAGTGTGCAAGAGAATAAGAAACACTACCTGCCAAAAAAAAAAGGTGATTTTTGTTTTATCGGCTGAAAAATGTAGGAAATCTGATCCCATATATAAAGGAACACACACACACAAACAACCTGGGTTTTTAACCCGATGTGAGTTGTCCCCCTTTCATTCTCACTATGTCTCTTAATCGTGTTTTCAAATTGATTTTGTGCAAAAACAATTGTATTTTTCCCATTTTCGGCGCTGTTAGAACCACCACGAGGTAATTTTATGTAGTCCTGTGAAGTTTTGTTGAAATCGGTTGAAAAATGTAGGAAATCCGATCCAATATATAAACGTTACACACACACACACACACACACACACACACACAATCTGCGTTTTATAATAAGTAAGATTATCAGTGGAAGCAAATTTTAAAAATGGTGCTTCGACGAAATTTAAAATAAAAAAAGCAGTTTATAATAAAAAATTGATTTGTTATCGACAATTATTATATATATATATATATATATATATATATATATATATATATATATATATATATATTTAAGTGATTTTTATGCTATACATTATTTTTATAGATACAGATATTTAAGTAAATGTTCTGTTTATAATAAAATATGAAACAACATTTACCGGCCTGAATGTGCGAGAAATTTTCACAGAAAATATTCGTCCTCCGACAGGATTCGAACCTGTATCCTATGCCGAACCGTCATTTAAACTTTAATCCTCCATGAATCTCTCACGTCCATTCATATCTGCTCATGGCATATCAAATGTAAACAACTGACGTCACACATTAAGAAATGGACAAAGTCCGACAATTCTTTTAAGAAATTTTAATGTTTATACATTCTTTTTATAGATACAAATATTTAAGTAAATGCTCTGTTTATAATAAACAGTATTAAACAACATTTACCCGCCTGAATGATATATATATATATATATATATATATATATATATATATATATATATATATATGTAACCCGAATATAAGAGACCCGGATATAAGAGAAACCCGGATATAAGAGAGATTTTATATGGTCCCAAATTAGAGCCTGTGTTAATGTATATAAAATAGACTAAACCCGTATATAAGAGAAACCCGGATATAAGAGACTTCTCCGGTCCCGACAACTATCTTATATCCGGGTTATAATATATATATATATATATATATATATATATATATATATTGATTGATTATTAGTAGGGATAATTCTAAGAAGGATATTAATACAAAGAGAGCTCAACATTGTAATTGTGACGATTATAATGGGATGATGATGATTTCACTGCAGAAAATGACAAGACGATCCATAGTATCTACTTTGAATCTGATCACTCACCTACCCTACCTGTTTTTATAACTGGTCCAATCCCAAAAGAAAAAATAATTTCTACGTCACCCCATCGTCTTAAGCATAATTCTTCCTTTTCTCCTTTCTTTCTCTCCCTTTCTCACTGTCTCCTTGCCTCTCCCCTCTCCATCTCTCTCTCTTTCTCTCCACCTACCTTTTTTTTTTTTAAAAACGTATATTGAAATTTTTCTTTTACTTTCATCCATTTTTAATATTAAAACTTTCTTCCTTTTTCTCTTTTTTTCTCTTTTAAACGTTTCTTTGTGTCTGGATGAGTTGACTCCATTTATTAATAAAACACTGGCTTGCAGAGATGGCTGTAAAAGTATACGACACAAATGGATTTTTAAGGATTCTGTATTCATTATATATATATATATATATATATATATTATATTTATATATATAAAATAAAAGAAAAGCATGGAACGAAAATACTTTAATCACCTCAATTCAATGTTAGAATTTTATAACTATTAATTCATTTTTTTTATTGCTTATCGACCCTTTTTAGATTTTTTGAAGACGAAACATATTCTGGATAGCAAAATTTTGCCAACAATATCCGAGGTTTTTTCACTCCGGCTCCTCAACATTGCCTAACTTCGGTGATCGAACGAGAACCGTTTTTTTTCTTTTCTTTCTTTTTTTTTTTTCTTTTTTTTTTTTAACAGCTTTATCATTGCAAAACGAGTCTCTTCTTCTTTCGCTGGGACCGGACGTCGCATATGACTCCGTTAACCTGAATTTGTACATCCGGCTCAAGGTGGACATGGTAATATCAGCAATTAAGAAGTGGTTCCAAGCGCCTCAAAACCTCCTGATCTGAGGCCTTGCTGCTGGACGTAGTTTAACGTCTTACACAGGACGCGGATGTAGTTTAACGTTTACACAGGACGCTACTAGGAGGAGGACTTAAATTATTACTGAAACATTAAGCTAGGTGTGTCGCCTAGTAAAAAAAAGCGCGTTATTGATGAGAATAAAAACTTATTCAGTGGCAATAGTATGCAGGGGAACAATAACACATGAAGTCAGTAATTTATATACGACAAATAGATATTTAAATATAGAATATATATATATATATATATATATATATATATATATATATATATATATATATATATATAATATATATATATATAATATATATATATATAATATATATATATATATATATATATATATATATATATATATATATATATATATATATATATATATATATATATATATATTCTATAGTTCTAGCGACACCAGGTGCTATGAGGACTTAAATTATCAATTAAACATTAGCCTAGGTAGTCACAAATCCGAAACTGAAGCTGAGTATTCGAATGATGAGGTTTCGATACTCAACGAAACCTAATCAGTGGCAATAATTTGCGAGACTAACAATAACACTGGAGACAATGTCTTTTTTACATCGAATATCTTTCTTTTTTTTTCTACAGCCTTGATAAATGTAAGATTAACAGAATAAGGGTTTTTCGGTGAAGAACTGTTATTTATATGAACATTTAAAGATATTCCTCACGTCACTATTCGCAACCCCACGCGGTATACGGCCTTATAATAAGAGTTAATATCAACATATTCTGTCAGAAGGCAAAAAACATATAACATCATCGATAAGAATCGAAACCCATTCAGTCGCTCTTGTTTGTGAAACTAACAATGGCATTTCAGCTAGTGTCTTTTATATCAAAATTCTTTCTTTCTCTACTGCCTCAGCGAATGTACGACTAAAAGAATTAATGATCTTTCAGTGAATCTCACCTTACGACGATTACGGCAGTCGGCTGATAGACAAGACTAAAGGTGTTGATCTAGATGTCGTTAAATTTTCCGGAAATCAACGTGGAAATACAGGAAATTGGACAGCAGAGGCTTTACGCCGACGGAAACAGTGATAAAATCTGAACGGCGACTGTAATTAGAAAGAGGCATGGTTTCCGCTGGCAATTACTTTCTTTATATAGACAGCTACTTTCTTTGACCTGCTCGAATCAACTAGAATCTCATCTAAAACACGAGTTATGTTTCGATAGCAATGATCAAAACTTGGTTAAAAGTATTTTCATTTGCTATTTGTTTCTTTCCATTGAGTTTCCATTTAAGAGTTGTAAGTCGTGTAAGCAGCCATTTTTTTTTTAAATTTGGTTTATCACTATTTACTATTTATTTTCCCGTTGAATGGGTCTACGTGTTCAAGTTCCCACCACATATTATTTATATATCTATTGATTGGGTTTACATCATTTACTATTTATATACACATTGCTTCGGTCTACAGGTTCAGGTCCTACCAACTACTATTGATATACCCACTGATTCGCTATACAGGTTCAGGTCCCGCCGTTTGCTCATGATATACCCACTGATTCGCTATACAGGTTCAGGTCCCGCCGTTTGCTATTGATATACCTACTGATTCGCTATACAGGTTTAGGTCCCACAGACCGATTTTCGTTTGATCCGACTAACCTTTATTGAAACCTCATTATTCCTATTTACTGCTGTGTTTCTATCATACGAATGTAGAGATGCACAAGTTATATAAAACGATTTTCATTTAATCAAACATAAAAGCCGCACTCGGGAAGGGTTGATCATGTTTTCAGGGCAGACATTTATTTACAGTATTTATATTCAGCCTCTGGGTCGGGCATCGCTTATGTGCACTCAGGGTAATCGGGCGACGAATAACTGGACGGTACTAAATAAAAATAAGAACTAGGCAATATCCTTACATATGAGCCGTGGAACGAGAACAGTCTACCCCCGTAAATTAAATGAAGGGTTCAGTTAAGGATTCCCTGTAGGTTACCCAGATTGATATACACCTGAGGAAGGTCGGGGGTTCCCAACGGCAAATACACTGTTATAATAACAACAAAGATGAGGAAAATAGTCGGAATATAAATAGTCTGAATAATGATAAAACTTCATAAGTGAAATTCGGGTAGGGTATTTTATTTATTTGAAAACGCTAAAAGACTGTTGTCTTCTACAAGGACCCTCCTATTTAAATGCTCTTTTTCTACACTAGACGAAGGCCATCTTGTGGATAAACCAAAGGAAGGTATTTAAGGTCTTATTCACATCCATTTCATCTCCTCCACGACCCGTCCTGAAAGAAACATTAATCCATTAGTAATCTTGATTTGATCAATGGTTTCTGTCGCGTTTTAGCCTAGATCATTTAGTTTAATTCTTTCACTCCAATCCAGGCGAAAATTCTACTAGAACGCGGGGGATGGGGGTGTTACAAGGAGTAAAAGCGTAAGAGAAAAGAAAGACTGGGAATGAGAAGCATTGTTGAAAGGACAAAAAAATTCAAGATGACGATTGACATTGCACTTAAACCTTTGAAAATTGTATTTACCAGAGAAGCAACAAAACAGAACGGTGTTCTGCAGGTGAGAGGTGCAAGAAAAAATGGTGGAGTAAAAGTGGCGGTTGCATTAGCTGTAAAACGGCAGGACTTAGTTATTGTCAGTCTATTGCACGCTTAAATTCATCTAGTCGGGAAACCAATCTAATTAATGTCGTAAAGACATGGATAAGATGAAAGAGGGTGAGTGACCCAGGACACTTTTACTTTGGAGGCCTTCAAGAAGTGACTAGGGGGCTACAAGAAGAACTCTGGAGTCCAAACTTTAAAGAAATTAAAGTTTTATATCTTTTGAAATAATTCCATATTGCCAAGAACACATGGCCCAGTGGATGATAGCGTTGGTTGAAGTAATACAGTAACCTGACAAAAAGAATGATAAGTTCAATACCTAGCCACAGCAGGGTGAAAAACAAAAGTAAAAATAATATGGCCCATGTTTCAGACGCTCATATGTCATTATCAGTGGAGACAAATTTTAAAAATGGTGTTACGACGAAATTAAAAAAAAGAAGGAGTTTAAAATAAAAAAAATAATTTGTTATCGACAACATTATATATATATATATATATATATATATATATATATATATATATATATATATCTATATTTCTGAGATGAGGTATTAGGTAGACTATTTATATTATTCGGAGTATTGTCCTAATCTTTGTTGCCATATTTCAATGTCGAACTGAACCCTTTATTTCGCTCGCTGGGGTAGACTGTTCTAGTTCCACGTTCCATGTCTAATAGATGTCAGTTATCAGTTATCTCGTGTTAATTCCCCACTCCATTTTCTCCACCGCCTTAAACTCGTATTGAAATCACACTCTTTGGGTCCTGAAGAAGACATGGCGTTAGTAAGATCCAGTGACAGGACCCCCCACAAAATCTAAAAAACACTCTTAACTAATTGAATTTCTTTTATCCAAGTTTTCACATAATACGTTTAGCCATCTTGACACCATTTGTCGCTCAACTCAGTGAAAAATCTTTTCAGTTATTCAACTAGACTGTCTTGAGAGGGAAAAGATCATTCCGGACTTCAGTAATGGCTTCCATATTCAGAGTACATTCAAGAATCAGGTGGTCACAACTGGAAGAGGGCACATTATATCTATATATATATATATATATATATATATATATACCATTCGTGATATACGTCAGCTACAGTTCTTCTCTTCTTAACAGTCCAATCATAAACAATACATATTGCTTCATGCTTAAACGCAATCTTCAGGCCATATGTTCATTTTTATATTTACATATGTTCTATTTCAGATTTTGGACACTTTACCCCATAAATATAGCATTACTTAAAACTATATTTTATCATGAACAATTACGGAAAATCCTCGTTGAAAACACAACTATACTTAAACATGAAAACAATAAACAAAAACTAAAAATTCTTGAAGCTATATACATAAAACAGTTGAGACCTAACATGAACAAAGTAAACTACTTCTCGTTTTCATTTTCGCGTTATCATGTGTGACGTCATGAGCTGCGGTGCGATTCTCGATTCCAGCGTATCGTATGCACGAATTTGTCGTTGCTTGGAAATCTTACATGTAAACAAAAACAGACTATAATCATTATTTTGTCCGTGCATTGTTTAATATATCGTAATGTAACTGTCATCTTTGATAATGGCTCATGTAGGCCGAAAGCTTAGATAGGATTAAAAAATATGTATCAATATTTTGATTTTCTTTCTTCTTTTAATGATAATGTTATTAAGCTTATCAGACGATATGAAAAGAATTTACATAAAATAAATAGACAACACTTGTATATATTTTTTAATGAAACATGCATGCATCAATATATATATATATATATATATATATATATATATATATATATATATATATATATATATATATATATATATATATATATATATATAGCAACCGTCTAGTCCTTGAATGGAATATTGCTGTCATATAGGGTCTGGTCCTCCCGCTGTAAGTCTCGAAGTGCACGACAAAATCCAGAAAGAATATGCAATGTGATAGGTCCTGATCTAGCATCTAGTCTACAGACGAGCCGTTGCTTCCCTCTGTCTCTTTAACTATTTTCACGGCAACTGTTCCGACGAGTTGCTTTCACTGGTTCCCAGACTGCATGAATTTAAGCGGGCTACTAGGCTGGCAGATCGGTCCCACCCTTTCACTGTCGAAACGGTTAAATGTAACCAACTCTTCTACTCCAACAGCTTCTCTTGCACTTCCCGTCTGCGGAACTCCCTTCCTCTTACTTGATTCCCTGATAACTATAAACTTCAAATATTGAAATGTAATGTCAATCGACATCTTCGGATACCTTGATCTTGTTCCCCGTCCTTCTCTTTATCCTCTCGCCAAACACGCCTCTTTACTCTTGTTCTCTCCCCTCTGTAGCCCCTTACGTGCTAGTGGCACTCTCGCCTTTTTTTTTTTGGGGGGGGGAGTAGAAATGTTCCCAAATCGGAACATAGCATAATCTAGACTTCCTCGAATTTGGATTCATCTTCAAATCCCAATTTTTGTCCTGACATAAATATGAAGCCTTTTCTTCCCCGAATCCGAACACTACCCTCAATACCAAACATGTCAAATGTTCGGTTTAGAGAAGTTGTACTACATATCATTACTTTTGTCATTCTTTACAGTTTGTAATTCTTTTCAATGATAAATTTTATAACTTTCATAAGTTTTTAAATAACTTATAAAGTGCCTTAGTTTTTCACAAATTGCAGTATTTGTTGAGCACAATGTTTTTCATTACTATTAGTTGTCATCTATTTTTTGTACATTTATATATTCAATCAACACTTTAAATAAAAACAAATCAATGTTACAAACTACCTTTTGTATCATAAACGCTTAAACTAAATAAAAAAATTTAAGATTGCTATAGCAGCCTTTTCTTCCTCGAATACGAACACTACCGAACTGTACATCTCATATGTCCGTTTTAGAGGAGTTATATACAGAGAGAGTGAGAGAGAGAGAGAGACAGATAGAGAATGAGAGAGAGAGAGGGGGAGAGGGAGAGAGATCAATCAGTTCATATCTATCTATCTATCTAAGTCTGTTCCCATCTATCTATCTATCTATCTATCTATCTATCTATCTATCTTAGTCTGTTCATATCTATCTATCTATCTATCTATCTATCTCAATTTGTTCAAACCTATCTATCTATCTATCTATCTATCTATCTATACGCGTATGCAGTGCGCATGTGTTCGCATCTATTTTTTTTTGTATGTGTACTTGCAAGTTAGTTTAAATGACTGGTTGTCGCTGGAGATAATTTTCTTGTTTCGAGTTTGCTCTAGTTACATAGCCTTGTGCCAGACAAGGCTAAACCGCGTATATATCGAAGCATACGAAAGGAGACATGAGTACAATGAAACCTTTTAGAGTTTTCTTTTCGACTGTTTCGACCCAGTAGACACATCCAAGCGCGCCAGTAGCGATAGCATCTTTTATGTGCGATCATAAATATTGATGTATAAATTCTGATTGAGCAGCTTGCGCCTCTCCTCCCTCTCCTCCTCCTCCTCCGCCGGCACGCAAGGCGCGCGATCGCCTCAGCGCCGCCCCCCCACCCACTCTCAGACCGATGCCCATTTTGTATCGAATACTCATTAACGATGCCGCAAATAGAACCTGACACCATCTTCATTCCTTTCTGATCAGAATCGTAGCATAACCATTTTTATCGCGATAAGTCTAACCTGGACCTCGTTCACCACCACAGTCTTCCCCCAAAAGTCTACAAAGGACGTGAATTCACCATTTAAATCATAAACAGCAGTGTCTGTAGGAAAGAAAATATACGTACTAAGCTAAACCTGGCACAAGGCTACAATGTTCAAGGAGGAATACGTTCGTGAGCGGCAGACATGGCTTGATAACGGTTGGTTACAGCGTTATCCTGAAAAAGACCTTGGTCCCCCCAAAAGGTTTAATTCCGTTGATGGAGGTGTTGCCGAAACCAGGGGTCTTCTATTTTAATAGCGGCGCAACAGACTATACCACGCCTGTCAATCCTGATGGGAAACGGAGGTGAACGTACTCACCGTGAACGGAAATACTCTCAAATGTTGCGGAGTTGGAAGTATTAAGCAAAACCTCACCAAATTGAAGTCTTGGTAGTGGATGGAGAGCTACTGGGTTTTGACTTGTTGCTTGGGTTTGACGCCATTAAAAAGTTGGGCGGACTCCAAATACGGAGGGTGGCGATGTACGGTTTCCCAAGCGTTGGATAATCTGTTGCGCCGCTATTAAAATAGAAGAACCTGATTTCGGTGCCGAATTCGACCAAAACCAGAAGATATGGGTCGCATCATGAAAGTGATCTGATAGTCGATCACCGGAGAGTTTGCGAAATCGTATGCCCGAGTACCCAATACCAACGGGAGTCAAGGAAGAATACGACCGTGAGCTGAAGACCTGGCTTGATAAAGGTTGGTTGCAGCCTTAGGCTGAAAAGGAACTTGGTCCCCCAAAAGATTTAATTTCGTTGATGACGGTGGTGAAGAAAAACAAAAATAAATTGCGGCCAGTATTAGGCTATCTAGAGCTGAATCAGAGTCTAGACGCACACAAAAGCCAATGCTGACGTGTGCGCACAGAAAATGAGGGAGTGGCGTAAAAAAGGACCGGGTGTCGCGTCCTTGACCTATGGTAGGCCTATCTACAGGCTATTTCGGCACTATGACGAACAAGACATTTGACGTCAAGTTGATACCCGAGTTTGATGGTTCAGTGACCGGACAAGCAGTTACTGAATGGATTGAGAAGGCAGAACTTGTTTGTGACCTGTGTGGGATTAAAAAGGTTGAACGTGTTCTTCCTCCGAGGTTGACGGTCGGGGTGTTTGCTGTTTACCAACAGTTAAACACAGAGCAAAAATCAGATGTCGAGCAGATTAAACGAGCCCTGCAGATTGCCTTTGCAATGGATTGTTTCTTGGCAAACGAGCAATTCGCGGAACGCCGACTGCGCCCGGACGAATCCGTCAACGTGTTTCTAGCCGACTAAGCAGGTCGCTAGCAGGTCTATTTGGCGAGATATCCGAGCAAGGACTATCATGTGGGTTCCTAGCAGGGTTACCAGCGCACGTCAAGCAACTACTGCGCGCGTCTTCCAGGATGGAAGACATGAATACAAGCCGTCTCTTGGACCGAGCTCGGGCCATAATGAAAGATCAAATTGCAACTGAGGAAATGGTTGCGGCTACCATTTCACCAGGCGGAGCTGATAAACATTCAAATGTTAAACGTCGGGAGGGAAACATTGATGTATTTTGGCTACCGCATTCGTCAGAGACTGAGTTATTTTTCTGACTGGTTGCGTGCATTGGGATTTATGAGATAGTACTTGCGAATCGAGTTTTCAGCATTTCTTTCTGTCCCCGATATTCGAGTCTGAACTTACACTGATTTTTTCTCTACGTTGTGGAAGTAATCTGCGACAAAGATTTCCTTTGCTTTCAGAACGCTTACAAATGTGTGAGTTCCACATGAGGATTCAGTTTATTAAACTCCGGCAAAAAGTCGTTTTTGATCACGCCTCAGGATTGATCAGTTTTAGCGGCTTATCATCCTTATGCGGGTTATTTAAAGCCAAGGAAATATTTTTTTTTTATATTGTAAGAATGCTTTCGTGATATGATAATGATTTACTACTATTAATTTAGGATTTTTCTTACAATAATATTCAGCTTTTACAAGACCCAAGCGGCACTCGAGGTAGAGGATTACAGATTAAGATATAAAAGGCACAGTTTATGAGGACATTTGTGGGAGATAACAGTTAACAGTAGATTTGAACAGGTTAAGATTGTAGTAAGCATGCTCTTGGGAGGCGATTCCACAAAGTACCCACTCGTGAGAATAAGCTTTTTGAGTGGATCTTCCATCTCAGCAAATATCATTTTTCTATTTTTTCTCAATTGGAGTTGAGAGGTTCGCCTATCGCCCATTTCACCCTTCTCCCCGATTTTTTAAACAGTAGAGTCTTATCTTTTGTTTCTTGCCTAATTCAACTCTATATTTCAACATTTTTCGGCCTTTTTCTCCTTCACCTGAATCTTATCGACCAGTTCACACTCCTTTTCAAAATTTTGAGCAGAAGTTTATCTTACCGTTCTTTTTTCAGTTCAACCGTACAAGGCCCGGGAGGCAATCGAGGGAGAGGTTACAGTTAATGTGGATATGTGGGCAAAATAAAGGTATGTCCCAAACTTGAATAGTTTGATATTGTAGTGATGGATAAAACGTCGTCTTGGGACTCGGTTCTACAGACCAGTGGTTCGCAGGAAGAATTTGCTCGCGTGCAAATTCTCAATAATGGAATATAAAGGAAATGAGTGTGGTTGGCTAAAATGTTCTTGAAATAGCGAGTCTGAACATTAGAAATGATGGAACTAGTGAATGTAGTTCGTCTGAACATTTGACATAGGAACAGCGATAGAGTAGCAAGAGCCTTGAAACATTTTGCTTGTGGGGAAGAATTTTTCAGGTGGAAATAATTCCTCGGCAACAAGGCCTGATGACGGTTTTGGACTCTGGAATGTGAAGACTGGCAACTCCCATTCATATTTGACAGCGGTACTTCAATTTTGATCTCATCTGGCTCTTGTAAATGAAGAATCAGGTACTTATTAAAGGTCTATAGTGAATTTATTTTTCATTACTGATGGATTGTATGCTTCCACGAGGTCTTGTTGGGTGAGCTCAATAGGAGCCCACGGTACAGGAAGTACTGGGCCTCCATGAGAGAATATCCATTTATTGCAATATACCAAAATTCAGGATCCTCTTGGTGATGATGGAACATTTTTGGCATTGAATATGACCACCAGCCAGGTTATTCCCTCTATTGAGCTGTTAAAGCTTGATCAGCGGAGAAATCATCTGCAAACCTCTGGTAATCTAGAATTTGGGAGCTGGTACGAAAGAAGTGGTACGTTTTAAGATGACCATATGTATCGCGGTCTCGCTTTATCGCCGGACCGCTAGATCTAAGCACCTTGCGAGTATAATGAAGCACATCCCTAAGAAATAGAGTGCAGGCTATCTAGAACTTCGTCTTGTAAAATCATTTTTGAAAAAAAAAAGAAAGAGTACGAAAGGGGCACAAAACTAAACTGGAATCTTCTTTTTAAGTTAGAGATCAAATCTAACATAAGGAAGATATTTAAAAGTTGATAAGCACTTCAGTTCTAAATCGCACAAGTTTTTTAATAGAAATATAGTAAAATTACAGATGTATTTGAAATTAGGAAACTATAATAATAATAATAAAAAAGAACACCAGGAATTTCAAGGCTAGCGTACAGTAAAATAATGTTAATAGTGAAACGTGTAACTGTCGAGATAGAAGCAAATGTCCATTAGATGGAAATTGTAAAACGCAAGGAGTGGTTTAGAAAGCAGAATTAAACGATGCAAATGGTCAGAGGTACACTGAAGGCAACTTCAAAAAGAGATGGTGCCTCACGTCATCGTTCAGGCAAGAAATCCATATGAATTGTGGGAATGAAAAGGAAAAAATAATAAAAGCCCTGATGTATGCTGAATTATATTGAGAAGAGCCAGACCTTACAGTAATGTTAGTGATGTCTACAGGTTCGGCCAAAAAGAAAAGATAGCAATAATAAAGTATGAAGACAAATAAGCGCTATTAAATGAGAGGTCTGAAGTAATGTCGGGATATAAACACACTAAAAAGTATATTTTGGGTTTGACGAACCCGGATGAATGTACCTATATTTTTTTTTCTTTATTACTACTCCCATGTAATTTCCCTTTGTTTTTTCTTACACCTACACTTCAGTTGCACTTCATGTTGTGTGTACATAAATAAACAAATAAAGCGCTAGGAAATAATTTAGTCGCTGATGCCTGACGAAAACTCAATGACTGAAACCATGGTAGGCTAAGTGATTGATCTTTCTATTTTTTAGCATTTAAATGCACTGCATGTTCGCTTTTTTAAATTGTGTATCGAGAACTGTTTAATATAACTGTTTTCTGGTTTGATTTAACTCTGACCAATAACGGTTGAACCATTACACACACACACACACACACACACACACACATATATATATATATATATATATATATATATATATATATATATATATATATAATAGTTTAAGTCTTATTAATTACATTCACCGGTCTGAAGGTTCGAGAAATTCCGTAGAAAATATTCATCCTCCGACTGGAATCGAACCTGTATTTCTATACGGAATTATTATTATTATTATTATTATTATTATTATTATTATTATTATTATTTTCCTTTGGTTTCTGGACTGTACACATTTCTTTCCGTGTCCCGACCTGAGACCTAAGGTTAGAAATGGCAACATGACAATTTCCACTGACAAAAAAAAAAATCAAGCAATCAATCAAACAATCTATCTATCTATACTTCTTCTTTTTCTTGTTGTTAATATAATTATTAGGTTGAATGTAAAGTATTTTAAGTTTTTAAACATGTTTTTACCGAAAATCTACATCCATCTACATTTCTAAACGTGAAGCGACTATATTAATATGATTAATAAATACTGTGTTGTGTCAAAGATATGTTCACTGTTTTTTCCGTTTACA